GTCAGTGGGCAGAGCCAGGACTTTAAGCTCTCGCAGAGGGTTGGAGCTGGCCTCATTCAATCATGGCTTCCTGAAGTGAGATTGGCCTATTTCACATCTCAGGGTCTGGCTTCCCACAACCACAGGGTGCCTTAGCACGATGTGTGAACCCAGCTAGAGCAGGGGGCCCCCAACCCCCACTGGGGCGCAGCCCACTACAGGACCTTGACCAGATTAGAACCAAGCCAGACGAGCAGTGGGTGGGCGCATGAACATCCTCATTGCTGCGACTGGCACGTGTGTACTGCCAGCCGCTCATGTAAATGGACTTGGGAGCACGATGGGCACGTATGCCCAGCGCTCGCACAGGCCCATCCCCTCTCTCTCTCTCTCCCTGCCGGTCCACAAAGCCAGAAAGATTGTGTCAGGGTTCCAAAAAACACCCCCAGCGGAATAACACTCCGAGGCTTGATCTTCCTCAAAGTTCCAATTTATTAGAGATGTCATGTTGGCACATCTGGGAAAACCCGAATACGAAAGCTTCCCGGTTTTCCCCACCCAGTTGAAAGTTCAAGATCCTGCCCCAAACACCCACAAGTTCATCCCATGGTCCAAACCTTCCACTGCCATGATGACAGATTCCACCCGTCCAGTTCCTGCCAGGTACAGAGACAAAGATGACCTTGACTTTCTAAGAAGAATGTTGTTATGGCTACATATCACCCCACTCTGTATAGTCCTCCTGCCTCCCATTTTCCCACAATAGAAAGTAGACAGTAGAAAGTGCGGCAGGCCTGAAGTCCAAGAGGAAAAATGGCTTGCAGGCCTGACAGATTGGGGAACTCTGAGCTAGAGGATTCAGGTGCTCAGTTGGACAAGGGACGACAACTGTTGGGGATCCTTGTTCTCCATCTCCCCCGAGATCTCCCAAAGACGATCTAGGCTAAACGTAGAAACTTGACTATTCCCGCAGGTCCAAAAGGCTTCACCCTGGGACGGCCAAAGTCACCGGGCGCCATGGCGACGGCGTCACCAACAGCCGCCGTGGTGACCGCCACCGTGGTGACCACGGCGGCCGCCATGGACTTGCGCGACTGGATCTTCCTCTGCTACGGGCTGGTGGCCTTTTTGAGCGAGGTGATCGACAGCACGACCTGCCCGTCCGTCTGCCGGTGCGACAACGGTTTCATCTACTGCAACGACCGGGGTCTCACCTCCATCCCGGCTGACATCCCGGACGATGCCACCACCCTCTATCTGCAGAATAACCAGATCAATAACGCGGGCATCCCTTCTAGTTTGAAGAAGAAACTCAACGTTCAGGTGAGACGGACGAGGGGGGACGAAATGGAGAAGGAGGTGGGGGGGGCAATCATGATTCAGTTTCTGAGAGGGCCCTGGTGCTCTCGGAGCTTGGTGTTTTTTTCTTGAAGATGTTTCGTGAGCCAACTAGGTAACCTGATCAGTGCTAGGTGGGAGTGGGATTAATGGACAAGAGGAAGGAGGAGAAGGGATGGAGGAGAAGGAAAAGAAGGGATGGAGGAGGAGGAGAAGGGATGGAGGAGAAGGAAGAGAAGAGGGATGGAGGAGGAAGAAGAGAAGAAGGGATGAAGGAGGAGAAGGGATGGAGATGATGGAGGAAGAGGAGAAGGGATGGAGGAGAAGAAGAAGGGATGGAGGAGGAGAAAGAGGAGGGATGGAGGAGGTGGAAGAGAAGAAGGGATGGAGGAGGAGGGATGGAGAGGAGGAGAAGGAGGAGGAAGAGAAGAAGGGATGGAGGAGGAATGGAGATGATGGAGGAGGAGAGACACTTCTTGGTGCTCTCTGAGCTTGGTTGTTTGCTTGCAGATGTTTCATGAGCCAACTAGGTAACCACATCAGTGCTAGATGGGAGTGGGGTTAATGGACAGGAGGAGGAGGAGGAGGAGGAGGAGGAGAACTGTGAGCTCCCCAGTGCTCTCTGAGCTCGGTTGTTTTGCTTGCAGACATTTCATGGCCCAACTAGGTAATATCATCAGGGCTGAATGGAGTGGGGTTGTTTACTGTTAGCTAGATATTTCATTGGAGTGTGTTAATCTCACGAGCAGAGACTAACACCAAGATTAACACTGGACCAACAACCAGGAATCAGATCTCAAGAGTGGAGAGACAAAATGCTAGAGTCCTTCCGCTCTGTCCTTCCACAAATTTCACTTCTAAAAACAAGGTTAGCTTTAGGCGGTCTAGAACCCTGCTTATTTCTAGCTCAGGAACACTACAGTCAAGTGTTCTAAATTGGGCACCCGGTATAATCTTCTCCCTCTCCGCCATGCTGACTGTCCGATCCCTCTGATTCCCGGCAGGTCATCTACCTCTACGAAAATGATCTGGACGAGTTCCCCATCAACCTGCCCCGCTCGTTGAAGGAGCTGCACCTGCAGGACAACAACGTGCGGACTATCGCCCGGGACTCCCTGGCCAGGATCCCTCTGCTGGAGAAGCTGCACTTGGACGACAATTCGGTCTCCACCGTCAGCATCGAAGACGACGCCTTCGCCGACAGCACCCGCCTCAAGCTGCTCTTCCTCTCCCGCAACCACCTCAGCAGCATCCCTTCCGGGCTGCCGCGCACTCTGGAGGAACTCCGCTTGGACGACAACCGCATCTCCACCATTCCCCTCCACGCCTTCAAGGGCCTCAACAGCTTGCGGCGCTTGGTGCTGGACGGCAACCTGCTCGCCAACCAGCGCATCGCGGACGACACGTTCAGCCGCCTGCAGAACCTGAGCGAGCTCTCGCTGGTGCGCAACTCCCTGGCGGCCCCGCCGCTCAACCTGCCCAGCGCCCACTTGCAGAAGCTGTACCTGCAGGACAACGCCATCAGCCACATCCCGTACAACACCCTTTCCAAGATGAGGGAGCTGGAGAAGCTGGACCTGTCCAACAACAACCTGACCACTCTGCCCAAGGGTCTCTTTGACGATCTGGACAGCCTCTCCCAGCTCCTGCTGAGGAACAACCCATGGTCCTGCAGCTGTAACCTCATGTGGCTGAGGGACTGGGTCAAGGCCCGAGCAGCGGTGGTCAACGTCAGAGGACTGATGTGCCAAGGGCCTGACCGGGTCAGAGGGATGGCCATCAAAGACATCACCAACGAGATGGACGAGTGCTTTGAAGCCGGCCAGCAGAGCAATGCGGCGGCGGCGGCAGCCAAAACGACAGCCAGCAACGCTGCCGTCACCACCCCGCAGGGCTCCCTCTTCACCCTCAAAGCCAAACGGCCGGGCATCCAGTTGCCCGATTCCAACATCGACTATCCGATGGCCACCGGGTCGGGAGCCAAGACGCTGGTGCTGAACGTCAAGCCACTGACCGCCGACAGCATCCGCATCAGTTGGAAGGCATCCCTCCCAGCGGCCTCCTTCCGCCTCAGCTGGTTGCGCCTGGGCCACAGCCCGGCCGTCGGCTCCATCACCGAGACGCTGGTGCAAGGCGACAAGACCGAGTACCTCCTGACCGCCCTGGAGCCCAAGTCCACCTACATCATCTGCATGGTCACCATGGAGATGGGCAACACCTACATCCCCGACGAGAGCCCCGTGTGCGCCAAAGCCGAGACGGCCGACGTGTACAGTCCCACCACCACCCTCAACCACGAGCAAAACCTGGACCCCATGGCTGGGCTGCCCTTGGCGGGGATCATCGGCGGGGCGGTGGCCTTGGTTTTTCTCTTCCTGGTCATGGCCGCCATTTGCTGGTACGTCCACCGGACCGGGGAGCTGCTGACCCGCGAGCGAGGCAGCCGGAAGAAGGACGACTACATGGAGTCGGGCACCAAGAAAGACAACTCCATCTTGGAGATCCGAGGGCCCGGCTTGCAAATGATCCCCATCAACCCTCACCGGGCGAAGGAAGAGTACGTCATCCACACCATATTCCCTTCCAACGGAACCAGCCTTTACAAAAGTACCCACACAATTGGCTACGGCACAACTCGGGGATACAGAGAAGGGGGCATCCCAGATGTAGACTACGCCTATACATGATGCAGAGGTTTCCCCCCCCCCTCCAGATGCATCGTGTCGCCTCCCCCGCCCCTGCGCCCACACTCCCCCGTTTTTACCCCTTCCCCAATCTCTCTCTCTCACACACACACACACATACACAGATGCACACGCACACAGGTTTGAGCTTGGATCGGTTTTTCGGTTGGGTGGTTTCATTTTCATGTTATTATTATTATTATTATTATTTTTGCCGAGAAGGAAAAAAAGAAAAAGAAAAACGGCGAAACGCGGACTTATATTTTCCCGAGCGAAACCCGCTGGAACCGAAAGGGGAAGGGAAGCGAATTTTACAAACCGACCTTCTTTTGTAGGGGAGAGGGGGAAGTAAAAAAAAAAAAAGAAATCCCACACAGCGTACACAAAAGCAAAGTTTTGAAAAGTAGATACGGAGGGGACAAAAAAGACCTAATTTATATTTAATATGCCAGATTTAAAAACGAAAAAGAAAAAAAACCACGAAAAAAGGAGCGATCGGGAGGAAGAATCGTGAATGAACGTTCGGGTTTTATGGGGAATTGTGGTGGGTCTTTTATTTTCCCCCTGCGAGGGGGGTAGAAGGGAAAAGGGGAAGAGTTGGAGGAAGGCAGAAATGACACTTGAGGATCAAAAACAGGGGGGGGGGAATGCTACCTGTTTATCTTTCTTCCTGTATAAATCTTCTATTTTGTTCAGGGGTTAGATTATAAAAAAAAAAATAAGAAAAGAAAGAGAAATCAACATTCTTGTTGTGATGGCTAAACCATCAACTGTCCTAGAGGATGCGTGGGAAGATCATTCTTTATTTTTGCACCCCATAATTCTGCTTTCCTTAACAGGTTCTGGATTTATTGTGCAAAACCGAGAAACAATATACAGTTCGGGGGGAGGTTCTCTGTCCCCCTCCCCCTTTTCTTTGGGGGGGGGGTGTCCTGAAAAGTCGCTCTTTGTCACCCCTGGAGAATCTTCTCGCTGATGAGAGAATCTCTCCATCTATCTCTTGGGACAGTCACTCCAGACGATCCCCTTCGTAGGGATAAACTCACCGTGTAGCTCTGGAGTTCTTAGCAAAAAAGAGAAAAGAAAAAGAAAAAGAAAGAAAGAAAGAAAGAAAGAAAGAAAGAAAGAAAGAAAG